GTATTTGATTGAATGTGCATCTAGCTCAGTACCAAACCACCGCTTGTAGCGAAATTGTCTTTCTTCTGAAATTTCTTAAGTCATGTGTTGTCAGAATCTGTTTTTTTAGCCTATCGAATATTGACTTTTGTTAGCATCGAAACGCTTGCACATCTATTTTACCTCCAGATTTTATTGAAGTACATCCAAGTGTCTATCTGAGTAATCGCAGATGTTGTGAACGACAATTTTCTAACTAGTCTCTAAAAAGAGTACATAGGTATCTTTGTTTTCTAAGTAGTGGGCCGATCTTCTATTCTAATTTTGATGTGCGCAACAGTTGTATTAGATGTTCTTTTATCTAATTTGGACCATATGTCTCACAAATTTTGAGAAAAAGGTATACATCGCTGAAATGCAAACAGCTGCAGCCAGCAAACAATTTTTGTTTTGTTGCATAAAACGACATGGGAACTTGTAATTCGATGAAATGCTTCATAATCGATTGATTAGAAAATATTGAATTTCTTGTTTGTATCGGCATTTTGCATTTCAGGTGACGATGTGTACACTTTCATTTTGGTTGTTGGTGTTTCCGAATGTTTGGAGTATGAACGCTTTTGAGTCATCCCTTTTTAAGTTTGGTGTGAAGACAAACCGGTTTCGGCGTTGTATAATCTCCAGTGGAACTTGTCGTACTAAAAGTGTTAATCCTCGTTGTTTCTTAACGGCCTCCATTTTTTATTTGGTATTTTGAATCTTTAATTTTCATTTTAAATTAGATATTTTCGAAATACCCTAAATATCGCATGTTTAATAATATAGAGATGTAACTCAAAATTTACGTATTTGGGGATTTCATTATGCAATTAATAAGCTTGATAAGTAGAATACAGATAACCAAACTTCCCAAATATGGCAAATACACATGTCTTTCCATCTGTTTCCTTTTGTTTACCAACTGCATGAATAGATAAAACTTTGATTGCGTTTTCCCACAAAATTGAAATCTTGAAATACTTCCTTATAATATTAAACGTGCGATATGTATGTACATATTTCTAGCTTTTGCATCAAACATTTTATTATATATAAAGGTACAGTTTTATAAGTTTCTATTTAGTGAACAAGACAGTTCAACTAGCATGCTTTGCTTTCATTTTTTCTAATGATGCGTTTTTACTTATACTCTTATATCTACGTTTGTATGTAGATCACCACTAAAAAATTACTCAAGTACTTCTGTAAACTTTTGCTATGTACTTACACATGTACATATGTTTGCATACAAACTTGCTCAGCTTGCGTATCCAATAACAATTTACCTTGTGGTTATTAAATTCGTTTCAATACTCGCTTTAATGTACTCAACTCGTTAAATATGCTCTTGGAATGATTTTTTCTACACATTTTAAGCCTTATGGTGCTCCTCCCCGTACTTAATGTTTTTTCTTAACTTTTATCTTAATCGTTGTATTATGTAACTTTATATCTCGTGCCGATTTGTGTTGGCCACCACACCCTTTTCATTATACGCAGCTTGACTACTGCCAAAGCAAGCGTATAAAAACAAACACGTTCAATGTCAACAACACAAGTACACACCCTGCAGTAAAATTTAGAAACAGTCTGATAAAGCGCTAGTTGTGAACTATATATATCAGAACTATCTCTGAACTAGTGCAAAACTGATGGAGAGCGGGACAGTTGAAACTCGCGGTGTAAATGTGCAAATGCTCACTACTCTTACTACAATACGAAAGTAGCTCAGCGAGAAGACCTCCGACTCAAGTATCGTTGGTGGCGAGTTCAAAATGCGGTGGAAGCAGTTGTGAACTTTCAAATTTCATGGATTTAAATTGTTGCGTACAGCTTTCAATAATTTCAAATCAGAACCGGTTAAAAACTAGTTGCAAAGTAATGCACTGGGCGTCAATTGCCTCCGCCAATGACATCGCCGTGTAAAACTGGACTGTTGAAAGCATTACTTGGGTATTGAGCTAGAACTAGTACTGTCGGCAAAAAGTCTAGTTCTACGCTAGTTCTGAGCTAGTAGAATTTTCCGCAGGGAATTTTCATAAAATACATACATATGTACATGTAAGTATGTATATTTCAATGCATTGTTTGCGGTAGAGCTACATTTTTGGAGCTGCGAGTGACTAATACGCCTGCATTCAGGTCTTGAAAATAATCCGTTTCAATAAAAAATAGTTGCCTCTTAGTAGCCTCATTATTATTTATAACTGCTACTATTAACTTAAGTACATGATTACATACATACATACCTGCCTTATGGCTATGTTAATATTTGAAGTTAAGGAAAACTCTTTAAAGTGAGTTTGTGAAATGACGAATCTCTGTCATGAATTTAACTAATGTTTGCATTAGTGGCTCAAGTATTTGCCAATAAACTTTAATTGAATGTGGCACTATTGACTATTTAGCAAAACAAGTATACTTTTGCAGTTGTTGCTAGTGTTGAAATTAGGTGTGCGCTTGTTTAGCAACATCTAAAAGTCAGTGTTTATTATAAGCATATATAATTTCTGCTGCTGCTCACAGTAGTTAATAAATTACTGCTATAATTAATAATAAGCGAATAATCTTAATGATAATTCACTATCTCCCATAAATTTTCTACAAATATTTGTGTTAATGGCGTTTGGCTGTACACACAATTTGTTTACTTGCTCACGTCAATCGCTAAACGAATAACTGCACACTTCCCTTGTGACAATACAAGATTTATAGAATGGTAATACGAGTAACATTGAAATACCGCAAGTTTCAATATTTTCTAGGTCCGCACTGAATTAGATGATTGACATTTCAATATTCATTGCAAATCTGAATTTGTATGATGTCAATTATTTGTAAACGTTTAAGACAATATATATAATGGTTATTTATCTAATCACCATTGTGGCTGAATGCTTAGAGGTGTGTACTACCACAACGTAGTACATGGATTCGATCCCTGGTCCGGTTAAATGACTCATAACCACGTAAACCTCGTAAATAAACCGGTTTCCATACAAAATTAAATAAGTTTACTTGGTTAGGAACTGCCTTGCATTTGGACGAATATCCGTATAGAGTTTATCTTGAAATTTTCTTATTTCGTTATTCAAACGAAAGACTTAAGGCGCGAACTTGAGAGCTAAGTACGGCTGTGCTCAGAAATGCATCAAGCCCAAGCATTAGTATGTTTTATTTTTAAACCATAATTGATAGAAATACCTTATTTGTGCAACTGAGTTCCACTTCGGCATTTAACAGTGGTTGCGCATATTTGAAATGTCCATCAATTATAGTTTAGAAATAAAATAGTATCATGCTTTGGCTTGATGCATTTCTGAACACATGATATATTAGTGTTAATAGATTTAAATTCTGTCTTAATTTTATATTTTTACATCATTATTACATAGGTTTATATAAAAATATGTACACTAACATACATACATATCTACAAATATATACAATTCCAAAAATTTTTTCTCAATTTCAAGCTTTTTAACTAGAATTTTTATAATATTTTTGGATATTTTGGATATGCAGTTACCAGGATTATAAAATTTTAGTAAAATATGTGCAAGTTTTGAGGGGCTAAAAAATTGCATTGATTTTTGTTCACGGCGTTTTGGACTTTTTTTTCCATATAAACATAAATTTCTTGTGGAAGAATATGCGCAAGACCGTTTATAAAACAGTCAACACCAGTTTCCCTAAATTTCGCTATTTATATGAAAAAAACCACAAAAGCAATTTTATTGAGCTTGGGGCCGTTTTTAATGAAATATTTGTGGAAAAACAACAATAATTTACATTTCGGTAGAAGTTATAGCTGCTATTTCGGAGATCACCACATCTCCTCAAGGGAGTTCTTCACCCAGAGTCAAAAACCAGTAGTCTACTCAGTTCGCCATGTAAACCGTAGTTGCTTATTCCAAATGTTTCATGTGTTAAGCCATGTAAATTGTTGTTGTTTTTCTACAAAACTTTCATTATAAACGGCTTTAAGTTCAATAAAATTGTTGAGTACATACAAATATTCACCTTATATTTGTTACTTTTTATTTTGAATTTATTAAGATATATTAATTATTGTTTTGAAATGTTTTTACTCCTTTTTAATTAAAATTTCCATTAGCTTTTTACATTTTTTTTGTTTTCTAAATTAGGTTTTACTATATTTTAAGTACTATTGTTTCATTTAAATTTTTGTTTAGTATTTTTTTCAAGTTCTTTTTTCATATATATTTTACTATATATTTTTTTGGTTTATTGGCAATTACTTTTTATTTGGTACATTTTTGTCATACATGTAAATTCGTAATGTTTTTACTCCCTTTTAATTAAAACTTACATAAAATTTTTGCATTTTTACATTTTT